AACATAGTTGAAGCCATGGAGTGGACTGGAGTGAGAATTCGGGGGCAAGCATTTCGAAAATAGTAAGCGAAGTGGTAATAATGCATAGGATGGTACGATACGTTGTACTCTCGTTTTAAAATTAAAAACGATTAGAAAAAATGCCTAGTTGCACAAATAAATGGTGTAGAAAGTGAACTTCTACTTCAAGTCACTACCGTGCCAGCCCGTACGCGATTCTAAACGCATTATGGTACTGAACACGCATAGCGCTTTAAGCTCGTTGCGTGAAATTGACCCAAAGACTAACGTGTAGAACGTTTGACAGTATTAAACTAAATAGAGTTAGTTTAACTTGGCGACTACAACGTGAGAATCTCCGTGGCAACATATTTACGTGTGAATAATGCAAATTACCATCAATAAGCAACGTATAAAGATCCGAATAATAAATATTATATAAAACCGCGCACTCAGTACAGTTGAACTTGCCGCGTTTCATACCACACAAAACCTGCGTTGACCGATGAACCTTGCTCACATATATACATGTAGTTTAATGAAACAATTCCATATCCACACAACACCAAGACTGTTTAGTACAGAAATTAAAAAGTTTATTTGAAAAAAGCTTACCAAGAAGTGCGTTGAAATCATCCAAAATAATTAGGTTCTATTATAGAATTTATCTCATCCAAACACTCCGTTAGTTCTAATTAATCGAGCGATCACTTAATACAATTTTAATAGCAGATAAGCGTACACTTTTACACGATATCATTGATACAAACGAGAAAATGACCCTTCTCCATAATTAGACCTCTCCACCATATGGTCTTCCTCGTAGCATTCCAGGCGCCGTATCCAATGCTGATTTTCCTGTAAAGCCAAAACTCAAAGTCAAAGTCAAAGTCAAAATAATCTTTATTCAAATAGACTTCTTAAAAGTACTTTTGAATCGTCCAACATTTTTTTCCCTACCACTCGTTCAGGACGTCTTTTGGCTGATAAGAAGAACGAGCAAGAAACTCACCAGCTCTAATAAGAGTAATGACATTTACAAAAACCATATCATTACCAGATTTATACATTATAAACAGAGATAGAGAAAAAATAAATAAATATGGTCTTATAATGATAACATAATCATTTAATAATAATGGAAACAAGATAATGAGTTAAGAAGTAATCACCTATCCAGTTGCTAGATCTTCTCAAGTCCAAGCGTTCTTATCTGTCATATAATCGGATACCTTATAATAAGCTTTTTTAATAAGTATTTTTTTAATAGTAGATTTAAACTGCATGATATCTAATTGTTGTATTTTGCTTGGGACCTTATTGTAGAAGCGCACACAAAGACCCTTGAATGAGTTATTAACTTTTTGCAGTCTAGTGACAGGCACCGTTAATTTATTTTTATTTCTTTTATTAAAATTGTGTACATCACTTTTTATAGAAAACAAACTAATATTTTTACGAACGTACATTAAGTTCTCATATATGTATTGAGAAGCAACAGTCATAATGTCTATTTCCTTAAATTTCTCCCTTAAAGTGTCCCTAATCCTAAGATTATACATTGATCGAATTGCTCTTTTCTGAAGCACAAAAATTGTTTGTATGTCGGCAGCATTTCCCCACAATAGGAGTCCGTACGACATTACATTACAACTGTTAGTAATGCTCCCCAAGAAATCAATGTCGTGAGGCAAAAGCCAGGTCCCCTGAAGGCGATTATGTCCGCTTGGTTATATTATTTTTTAATGCAATCCACTGAGCATTTTACGTGTGTACACTTAAAACTAATGAAATTACTTATTTAGGCCATTTTGATATAGTTAAGTTAATTTCTAAATCGACCCAACTGGTAATGAATCCCTATACCTCAGAGATGGCGACCACCTGGTGTGAAATCACTGTGCTATGGAGGTTGCATATAATTTTCTGCTCGGAGGTTAATAACTATATGCACATACATAGTAACACTGCACGAAGTTAAGACATTCAATTATGGATAATAATAGTTTAAAACACTAGAAAAACACGCTTTTATAAGTGCACGTAAAATTTGTCTCTATTTCTGAGCTGAAGTGTAAACAGTGTTTTTAATATTATATTTAAAAAAATTTAAAGTCTTTTCTGTTCCAGCGCCCCACACTTTTACAATCAAATATTATAATTAAAAGACAACTTGAACGATCCACATTTTTTTTTTGTTTTTACGTGCAATTATAAAATCGTGTTTTTCTAGTGATTTTTAAACTATTAATTTATTTCATACTTTTTAGTCTTTGATAACAAAATGCTTTTCACATTCATATATTAATTTCAAATAGGCGAATGAGCCCGCATCCTCTCCATCTCCAGCAGTGCATCTGTATTACATGATGTTTTACCTATCAGCTTTGTATAATCTGGAGACCACTAAGTGATTTTACTCTACTTAAGGCCAGATCAGCCTGTCCAGCCGCAAAAGTACGGGACCCTAAGTACACCACGGCGGAGTCTACCGTACAGCCTTACATCTTGTGCACGGTAGATGCCCAATTTAAAATCACTGGGATCATCCGCCTTATTTCAGCCCTCGGCACGTTTCTGACCTTGGCTTGGGTCTTGAAACCTGATCGTGTTCAAAGTCCAACTTTATCACTAGTGCAAACTATGATACGATATTCCATCATGGAATGGCAGTTCCTGTCTTCCGGCTTCATCTCAGACCTTGAAACTTAATCGTGGTCAATGTTCATTACAAGAACTTTTTTACAAGTCCAAACACGTTTATGATACGATATTCCACCATGGAATACCAGTGCCTATCTTCCGGCTTCATCATCAGATCCTGAAACCTAATCGTGGTCAAAGTTTATTTTAAGACTTTTCTAACAAGTCCACAGTTATGATACGATGTTCCATCATGAAGTTCCAGTTCATATCTTCCGGTTCCATCATCACATCAATTCGGCAGTACCATATTATTGTATTGTCGTCAAAACGACATATAACTGCCAACTTTCATAACGCTATCCTTGGAAGATTGTTAAATTGGTTCCTTCAATGGTGGGTTGTTCAATGAAATCCTTGTGTAATTCTTCAAAATCTCTATTGTATTTGCAAATAATATATATACTAAATTGTAAGATACTGACTCTGTACTGGTTCTGATCAGAAAGAAAGATTTATCAACCAGCAAAAGATGAACACACGAATTCGAACACGAAAAAGTAATAATTCAAAATATTAGCGGCCAGCATTGACCATAAATTGTCCGGAGAGTAAAGCTTCCTATAGTAATGTGCACGAACGTTACAGATGTTTAAATTGGTTACCCTAGATTCCATACATCGTTAGTTTCTTACATACATACAGGTCGACCTAATAAGAGCTTGTTAAAAACAGAGTGACCAAGTGTCATGGCAGTATACGTAATAAAAAAAAATAAAAAAATCCTGATCCAAAGTACTAAGCTATCGTAAAACTCGCGTATCAAACGTTCTTGTTTATAATGTAAGCTATTTAGTATTATAAGGTTATTGATATTTCCTAAATAACCCTATAAAAATAAATTACAATGTATTTATTCCCTCCACAAATCCTACGTTTAGCAGTACTATTCTATAGAACTTCAAAGAAATAAAACCATAATTTCCTTTGAAGTAGATTTTATTTAATCGAATTTCTACGATATCACAGCGCTGCTTGACGTCCAGCAGGTCAATGCTTTTATTGTTTACGTAAAAATTAATCACATCTCAATAGAGTCTCAACGATTGGCGTTTTACAATTGTACTTTCAACCTAAAGTCTAATATTATTATCTTATATATATACTCATATATCAATGGTGACAAATATAGAATAATTTTGAACTTCAAGTTGATAGTACAATGGTAAATGGAAGTCTTTGAGATACCATTATTACGTTGACATTAAAAGAATTTGTCTGCAGTTCGAATCCTGTGGTCTCGAACTGCAGACAAATTCTTTTAATGTCAACGTAATAATGGTATCTCAAAGACAGCAGTTCGAGACTTTTTCTAATAAAATAGTACTGCTGAGAGAGTAAGATAAAGTAACAAGAAGCTTGAATTAAAAAAAAAATCTTTCTTTCATAAAGTACCACCATGTACCACTGACAATAAGGTAAAGTGTCTAACATACCAATAACCAATTATATTACTTTTCTAAGAACGGATTTCAGAGTTTTCTTTTGAAATAGAGCCTAGAGGCTACAAAAGGAAAATTAATAAATAGATTGTGTTAATATACTCGTACCAAGAGGATATTTCACTGCTCTAATACATAAAGATAAGTCAAAATAGTTACCGTAAAAGATAATTAACGTAAAATAAAAAAGGTCAAATACGTTAACGATAGTAGTAGATTAGATTAAGAAGTTCTACTAGGGTTAGGCACAGCATTTGGACAATAGGAAAACCATTCGATAAAGTTGGTAAAAAAGTCATATAAAATCATAATCCTTTATTTCAGTCTAAGTCTGGGTAGATTGCCTGAATATTAATGAAAATACGCTCTGTAGTAGTGAAAAAGTAAAAAGTGCTTGAAGAATTTGTCAGTCCTGTTAGGTCCTGGGTAGACCAGTGGTTAGAGAAGTCGTAGAAATTAGTTGATATCTTGAAGTACTGAAATTAAATTAAAAATTTTTAATTTATAAATAATATATAAAATAGACAGTTATACTATCGACTATTAATAATCACAAAATATTAAAATATAAAAAAGTGAAATGAACTCCTTGTATAAGAATGAAAATTCAAAGATCATGATAATGGAACCATGAATGGTTTTCTTTTAATCAGACTTACCAATGAGTAAATATTTTATGTAATGTTATCGGAAATATTGATAAAAGTATTTCCGATAACAGTACATTAATGTCTTTATTGTTAATCAAATTTGTTCAAATTAATTTAAAAATACATGTCTTAAACATGAAGTTTAGGAAATATTTAAAATATTCTTGGAAAAGTTAATTGTAAATTAGTGTATTTATAAGTGGTGTAGTTAAAACTCATAACAAACACTCGATCATATAGAAATCAGTGAACCATATGAAAATTCAACGAGTATAGTACTTAAATAAAATATTGCAAAAGTTATTCAACGCTATATATTCATGGCAACTGAAGAGATTGGAATGCGAAATCGCGATGGAAAGGCGACTACTACTAACGGTGAACATGAAACCAATCAAGAACAAATTCCACTCAACCCTGATGTTGTAATCGAAGAAGAACCAAAGAAAACATGCAGCCAGAATTGTATCTACTTTTTCAAAAATATCACTTTGGAACCAACAGTAGCTTTATTTATAATAGGGTATATGTCAAGTGCTATGACGCTTTCCAATCTTCATATAGAAAAAGCATGTAGGGTCAATCTTAATTTCCCTGATGAAATATGCACTGCCATGAGACAACAGACGTTGGATAGTCAAAATGTCTACGAAAGAGACGTTCAAAGACTAGTGGCAAGAGCTATAACGTGGAGAACATACATAACAGCGACTATACCATGCGTTTTAGGTCTATTTGTGGGGCCATGGCAAGACAAGACCGGTCATAGAAAAATATTTCTTATAATACCTATTATTGGACAGATATTGGCATGCGTCAACAACATTTTGAACGTATATTTCTTTAAACAGTTGAGTCTAGAAGTTCTCATATTCAGCGATGCAATAATTGATGCTCTAAGTGGGGGGATGTGTGTTATGGTTTTAACTGTATTTGCATTTATCAGTACCATAAGCAGTGAGAAGACAAGAACATTCAGAATGGGAATGGTGAATTTTAGTTTCACAGTTAGTTTTCCAGTTGCCGCAGCATCTAGTGGTGTGATCTTGAAGAATTTGGGCTACTATGGAGCATTCGGGATATCTTTGGGTTACCATATCATTAATCTGCTATACAGTGTCATCGTTTTGAAAGATCCTCCGAGAACTAATGATCAGAAAGAGGTAATTAATTATATTTTAATGTTCCTGTAGTAAAATAAAATGAGGTCCAAATGATTCTCTTAGAAAATAATATAAACTTTAAAACATACTAACAGTGCTTCGTGTGGGATTTTTGCAAATACAAGGCTTAAAAGAGACTTTTTATGTCTGTAAAGTCAGCATTTTTTTTTTTATTTGAATGAGAATGTAAGACTATAATGATATATAAATAAAAATCAATTATTGTTTTAATAAGAAATTACAAATTCCATAGACTAATAATAAGGTGAATAATTGTATGTCGTACATTAACTGAATTGTTATTTAATCAATAGACGGAAAACTGTATAATTAAAAAAAATCTGACTTCAATTCACGTAGCAATCAGCGAAAATACCAAAATAAAATAGCTTCATTACCATTCCAATATTATTTTTACTGAAACGTTGACTATTTAATTTTAGCTCTGCGCAATGTACGAGATGTTTTTTAATAATAATTTATTTAAAGACAATGTAAATATCTTACTGATTTCTAATTTTTACACGCAGTATTCATTAAATGAAACGACTTTAAACGGTTTTAAGCGCGTCTGTATTTGCTTTCATGTCGTTTTGGACCCTTTACAGGTTCCGTGTTCACTTAAGACTGAAGAAAGTTCTTTTATTTAACAATGTTGGTATAGTTACACTGGGCAGCAATTTGAAAAATTATCTTTGACAATAACGAACTTCAATACAATCTTTTAACTAATTTAATTCCTTTCTTAACGATAATAGCTAAGCTGTGTAAATTTTCTCTATCTTTGTGCTGTATTTCATTGAAGTCGATATAATAGTTTAGGCATGAGCGAATAGGCAGATCTATAGGGTTTATAAGGATAACGATATTAGATAATTGCATTTATAAGGATAACGTTATTAGGTTTAGAAAAAAAATGCAGTAATTAAAAACTTACCCAGGGTAAATGTCTTTAATACAAGTATTCTTTGATACAAGTATGTTTTTAATACAAGTATTAAAGACATTGTTTAATTAAGGATATAACTTAATTAAGCTGATTAGTAAATTAAATGTCTAAATTCTAAAATAAACTTCGAAAAAACTAGCTTACTCATTTAAGAAGAGGGTAATTTTTTTTTCGTAAGATAAATGCGTATGATGTGGCGTCCTCTAGATGAAAGTAGTTTCAATACATAATTTAAAAAAACTAGCTTTTGCCCATGATAAATCGTATACAATTCAAATTAGATATGTCACTCAAAATTATGCAAGATAAATCATTATAGGAATGTCAAAGAGATTGAGTATTTTTAAAATATCAAAGAGATAATTTTAACAATTCATATTAAACTATATCACGAAGTCAATTAAATAACGTTATTACCAATTACCAATTCCACATAACTTGACAATAAATTAAATTTTAATGTAGCGTTAACCTTTTAATTTATTCCAATATTATTAAATTATATGACTACAATATGCATAAGAGTACATTATATGTTATCGATGCATTATATCAAATTTTTGGGTGAAATTATATAAAAAAAAATTAAAACTAAACCTTGACCACAACAGTGCGATATTGAAATTTACTTAACGTCATAGCACGCCAAGTATAGCACAAACTTGAGTATTTTCAAAAATATTTATCTAAAATATTATTTTTGTTATCAATTATGTACTAAAATACTAATTTTTGTCATAATATAAGGAAATCTATAAATAATACTAATATTACTTATACTGATAAATAATACTGATACAATTTGATTTGTCATTGTGACAAATCTATCTGAATAGATTTGTCACGATGACAAATCAAATTGTAAACAAGGATTGCTATTTGGTTGCCCATAAAAAATTCTCCCTTTCGTTTTTATCCCTGTAAGTGCTGGATTTCCGGACAAAATATAACCTATTACTTTCCCAAAGTATTAATCTTCTTATATACCAATTTTCATCAATATAAATCCAAAAACAAAGAAGTTTCACACAAACGTTTTAACCCCCTTCGTGGTGGAATTCAAAAAAATCTATTCTTAGTACACCTCTACCTTATAAGAGGAATGTCCCCTCCAACTTTCAAGTCTCTACGACCATCTATTTAGGATATACGTAGTCTTTCAGTCAGTATGTCAGGACATCGCCTTTTATGTTTATAGACTATTGTGTAACTTGACCTTAATTTCAATATGCTTTATTGTACAATCATACATTAAGCTAAATTTTACGATATTATCGATAAAAGGGGCTTAGCTCATAATCGACAAGCCTATTTACAACTGTGCTGATAAGGAGAGCACAATATAATGTCTGCATTTAAAACAGAGTGATTTGTCTCAACATCACAACTCATTAACGCGTTACTGATAATGAACCTTCAATTATTAAAAAGTTAAAGCGTAGTCGATAACATATTGTGCTATAATGAACACAGCCAGAGATGTTACACCCAGTGATGCTAAAAAAGCTGAATTACAACCGTTACAAGAAAAACCACCGATCATCGACGACGGTGACGAGCTCATTAAACTTGAGACTTTCAGTGGCAAATATAAAAACGCATTAAAAAATGTGACATTCGAACCGACAATGTTCCTGTTCATATTGGCAGCAATTATTACGATGACGACCACACAAAATTTGAGTTTAGAAAAAGCGTGTCGTGTCAATTTAAATTTTACGAACGAAATATGCAGTTCGTTGAGACAGCAAAATATCGAGAATCAAAATCAATACGAGAGGGAAACCCAGAAGCTGCTAGCTGCCGCTATGAGGTTGAAAACATATATAACTGCTACTGTGCCATGCCTGATGGCGATTTTTATAGGCGCCTGGTCTGATGAGACGGGACATAGAAAAGTATTTGTTATAATACCAATCGTTGGACAAGTTCTATTAAATATCAACAGTATAATAAACACATATTTCTTCTACGAATTTCCTTTGGAAGTGTTAGTTTTAAGTGAAAGTATAATAGAAGGTTTTTCGGGTGGTTGGTGTGTTTGTTTCACTACAATTTTCTCTTATATAAGCGTTATAACTACAGAAAAGACGAGAACATTCCGTTTGGGTATAGTCAATTTTTGTATGACTGTTGGTTTTCCCGTCGGCATGGGACTGAGTGGCGTTTTGCTGAAGAACTTCGGCTTTTACGGATGTTACGCCATAGCGGGATCATTGCAGTTCATTAACATGCTCTATAGTAGTTTCGCTGTAAAAGATCCGAAGAGAACGCCTGGTCAAAAAAAGGTAAGGGCTTATACTTGTTGTTATAACCGTTCAATTATTTATAGTCAACTGAAAATATAAACCTTTTAATTTATTCTACATTTAATAAATTTAAATAATCAGTCTTGGTTTACACCATAAAGTTATAATCATTATTACGTTTAAATGCTCGGAATATATTTAAAACACTACTTCGCTGATTTTAATAATTCACTGTGAATTATCGTCAATTTATTAATTCGCATGTGGATTGAATTTGACGATAAAATTAAATTTTAATGTAGCGTTAACCTTTTAATTTATTTCAAATTTATTAAATTATATGACTACAACATGCATAAGAGTACATTATATATTATCGATACATTACATCAAATTTTTGAGTGAGCCATCACCTTAAAATATATTTTCAATGTAGTTGCTCATAAAGCGCTATTTTTTTAATCCATTGTAAAAACCGAAAGTGAGTCTTTAAACACGTGTTAAATAAAAATGTACTGAAACCCTTTACTGCACGTACTTAAAAGTATTTTTTTAATTTTTTTGGCCGAGCACCAAAGAAATTTAAAAAAAATTGATGAAAATATGTCAAACTTTAGAGGCAAAAGTATTTCAAGGAGCCGAATAACGAATATTTTCAAATAAAAATGTATGACACGAAAACATGTTCAAATATCACGTTTAATTTTAACAAATAATTTTTACCTTTATTATATACTTAGTTTTATTAAACTATATATTTGTTTTATTTCCTCGCAAAAAGCATTGAAAAATGTTGTAAGAAACTTGAGCGTAAAAAGTTTTTCGAATTCGTGCTAATGAAAACCCTCGCTACACTAGTGTTTTCAATTTGGCCCTTATTCGTAAAACCTTACTTTCCGCACTCATATCTTAAATAACTATTAACTACATATACTTAAAAAACTTGTAATATCAGAACGAATTACAACGAATTTAAGCGCGTATAATTAATAATTTATTGGCGTCTGATATAATCGAAAATTATTTGCATGTTCCATGGTATTATTGGCGGTCTAAAACTATACAAAACTACAGTCCACATTCAATTGAATTATTAATGCAAATAATACAAATAAAATTAACTACAAAAAGATATCGACTCTTATATTAAGCAAGAGTTAAATTCCACTCAATTAATTTTCTTTATATGTACCAATTATAGATAATGAAAAGATATTTTGTACAGGCATAGGATATTTAATTTAATTCTTATTTTAGTACAACTTTCATCATTAGTTGTCATCTTCCTGCCCTAGGTCCATTTTTTTTTTGGGTCAACGCAGTATGATCTCATCTATCCTGTCAGCCTTCATTTCACCACTTTTTCAAAGGAAATCCTTTAATATTTTTATTTATTTATTTGCCTTCGTACTTTGTTACTACTATTAAACGTAGTTGCGGACTTATTTTTGTGTTTTTTTATGGTACGTAAGTGACATAATAAGTATTTATGATAAATAATCATAAAAATCCTTTTCATAGTCATTCGGTTAACCCGGCCAGAAATATATAACCAGCAGTTCTTGAGTTTTAAATGGTATAACTAAGTTAATATTGCGACTTTTTTATATAAGTCAAATGACCATGCCCAAACACCCAAAATGCAAATAATATATAATATAAAAGCTTTTTAAGGGTATTTTTTAATATAACAAACATTATTTCTGGTTTCAAAATCTATTAGTAGATATGCATGTCCTGTGGTTTATTTATTGGAAATAACGAACTAATCCGATCACGAAAATTCTTTTATATACACTCAAATCGAAAAATTCGAATTTCGAATTCAAAGACGATTCTATAAATACGCACTTTATAAATGCATGAACATAAAATTATAAATAAAACTCATTATACTACCGCTATCTTTTTTATTAATTCATTCATTTATTTAGTCTATGGTTTTAGGCTGAATGTGAAAAAAATGGCACACGTATGCGTAGTTTGAACTTAATTTCCCGCGCTTCCCATAATTTTTTTTCCAATCGTGTTTTTGTATTGGGGATTCCACAAAATTACTTCCTTGTAACCTACCTACTTTGTTTAATTACAATTTTTCCTATGAGTGAAGATAAAGAAGTGTATGAAAACTGCATATGGTAAACAAGTCAACTTATTATCGACTGTCGTGTTTTAATACCCCTTCTTATATGACAGTTGCATAAACTACTATTACCTACGGAAAACTACAGCATAAGGTGACGTAGACTATAATTAATATGGGCGAAGCTGCGGGAAAACATGCTTGAAAAATTCATCGGTCCTGTCAGGTCATTGGTAGCTCAGTGGTTGCCCCAGGTACTCGTCCGGTTTGCGAAAGGTCATAGGTTCGAATCTCGTCTCAGAGTGCCAAAGAGCTAAAGTTAATTTTTAAGCATTTTTCATTAAGAATATTTTTCAGCACAACAAATTGTAGTATACAAACATACAAATGCATTTTAAAAAAGATAAAGACTAGTACTTTTAACTTACTTAAATCACTATTATTTCGTTTATCTTTTATTTGAGGACAATATAATTTTGAATGCTACCAGACATAGCACGTCGCGGAAAAATAAATATAAGTAAGTGTTAAATTTACGATGTTTATAGAAAGTCTGTTTGATCTTTATTCGCTTATTTGTACATTTCTGTTGAATACTATATCCACAAAAAAATAGTTAACAGTCTAATTACTTAATGTGTTACAATCCCATTATCTTACGAACTGTACATATATTAACTAATGATATGCTTAAGTGTTATATTGCAATAATGAATTATTATAACAAGGAAGTATTAAAAGTATAATGAGAAAGTACCTACTCAAAAAATTAAAGTACTAACTTAAATGTGCCTAGATGACATAATAAATTTTATGATGCAAACACATTTCATAGCAACTTTCAGTAGCATAAAATTAGACTAAATTTTTTTAAAGAAAAAGATTTTAACGTAACCAGTAAAATCTATTTTGTAATCTTGACATTTTTAAAACGACTTTTCTTCTTAAAACTTAGCAGAGCGAGTTAAGACGACCACACTTTGCGAATCCATTTAAGTATAAAAATGTACGAACAATCCAACTCCGGGCGAGTAGCAATAATTTAGAATGGCCCATCGTCTAAGTAGATCGGCGGCGTGGTGGATAAACGTCGCGGCTCGCGTGTTGTTAAGCAACTTTTTCAAGGATCGGTCACGGGATGGGTGACCAAGAAAATAATATCTAAGGCTACTCCGTGCTTCGGAAGGCACGTTTAGCAGTTAACCTCGGCTGCATTTGCAGTCGTTAATATCCTACAATGAGCATTGAGCCCGCTTGGAGGGTTATAGCCCATCCTCCTTAACTATCAATAAGGAAGGCCTGAGTAAAATATTTGCTAGATATGCAGCTCAATCCACAAACTTAATATATAAAGACCAATATTTAGATACGTATAAATATATAATAATCGCATAATTATATTCGACTCGACTACTAAGTACATTTGTAGATTGTTAATATTTTACTACGCTCTTATTTAAAAGGAGAAACTCAGTTCTTATATAGCTTTAGCCCTAATACAAGGCTAGAAAATGGCCAAAAACTAAATACTTTTTCTTCAGTCTTAAAGACTCCCGACTATAAACTATAAACCAAATTGTTTAAACCGAACTTTGAATAGGAATTTTTAGGTTATATTAAGAGTTATTGAAACACGTTACTTTATTAGGGTTATTAAATCTTCGTTTATCATTCAATAGACTTGTGACGTTACATTTTCACGGTCTGTTAAGGTCATTTGTTTACTTTTAAATTGAAGAGTCTTGGTCACTGTATCAAATAATAAGCGAGTTGATAGTTAAACTTATTGTTTTGAGACCTAGATCTTAGTCTAAATCGACGCGACGAAATCTTATCAATAATATTGTGAACTGTGTCATTAATATATCGTAACATTTCGTAATCCATCAACGATTAACGTTTACTTTATCTTTTTTTCAACAATGAAATAATGATTTTATAGTCAACCGAAAAAGTACCAGTTTACAATCGAAACGCGTCAATAAAAAGGGTAGACAATAACATTCTTATCATCTTAAAATAAAACGTGTTATTAGATTATTACTTTTGTATGTTAATAATGATTAGACATGTTTACTTTAAAATTACCAACGTTCTGTCCCCTGCAATTGAATTAAAACAGAAAAACTGTATTTGAAATAAACGCAAGAGTTTGCGTACCGTGTTACTCTTCAGTACTTATATGTATATACGTAATGACGTGAGAGCATTAGGAAAATAGTCCCCTGAAAGCACTCCCGTCATTGATTTGCGAACCGATATCGTTGCTTCGTGTGCTGTAGAAATTTTAATATATCAGATTATATTTATTATTTTAACCGAAGTTTTTCCTATAAATATACTCGAAAACAAAATTTTTTCCAAGCATAATCTAGGTAATATTTACCTGAATATTAATAATATTTTCATTCACCATGAAAAAGTCATTGGAAAATTATTTTTCATTGTAAATGAAAAACTGATTTGAAATTAATATTGTAATTCAAACTCACGAGCTCAGATGTAAAATAGTCATCTATAAATTGGATTGCCACCACCCTTTACAAAATTGAATTTTACATACACCTTAAAATGGTATTATTAAATTTTGCAAACATTATCTCTTGTGTTAATTGAAATAAAAGAAAATTACTTCATCCACATTAAGCCTTTTTTCGATGTAACGACCAGAGTTGTCTGTATGAGACAAAACAGAAAGAAAAAATTGCATGTATTAAGTTCTCGTCGGTCCTTCTCAAGATCTCTCGTTGTAAATTTGATAGCATATTATTTGCCGTAGTGGCAATTTAAGTTGAGTCTGCGGTTAAGGCTCCAAAGTGGAGCAAACTCAAATTGCTCGAAAACTTCCACAAGCGTTTTTTTCTAAACTAAATATTGTGAAAGATATTTTTTTTTTTTTGCTACAGCATGACAGAAAAGGCGTTGGCCACTTCTTCCGAACCTTCTTCGATTTATCCAACGTCAAGGAAACGGTGACAGTGGTGTTTAAGAATGGCCCTAACAAAAGAAGACTGCGTATGATCGTTCTACTTTGCGTTGTGACTATTCTTTTTGGACCAATGTTTGGTTAGTATATCCTTATTTATGACTTGTTAAATTAACTCTCGACTATAGTGAAATATAATAGTACTTATAGACGACCGGACATTTAAATCCAATTACACTCGACGATAGTGTAGGTAATATAATAGTACCAATAGACGACCGGACATTTAAATCCAATTACACTCGACGATAGTGTAATATAATAAGTACTAATAGACGACCGGATCAGTCCGCTCCGTACAGCGAACTTGGTTCGGTAAGACGTGTTCTCAGTTGTGTAACGGACAGCCTTGTCCGCCAGATATTACTATTATTGCTTGTACAATCGGTTTGGTCCGCCCACAGAAATATATCTAGTTAGAAGGAAAAAGTGTACGTACTTCGCGTGCCGAAACGACGTCTAGACAGCTTCATTGCTCGCCGCGAGGCTCAGTCCACTTTCGATCGCAATCGGTTTTGGACGAAATTTAAAATGATGCGTTGTTCGATAATTACCTGCTCAAACACCACCAATATGGTTGGATCTTATAGTCGAGGTATTTCCTTCCATCGGTAAGTAACTATTTGCCTTGATATATCTATTTTGAATTAAAAATCATTAGTTTTGTTGCTCCGTATTATTTTTAACAAAACGGTCATGTGTCCAGTAATAGCTTTCCATTGCGGCTTTAATTTGACAGTCCAAATTTGCTGTGCAACAAATTGACCTTGAATTATACATAGATGCTTATAAAACCATCGATGTATAATTCAAGGTCAATTTGTTGGAGGACAAATTATCATTTTTTCTGTCAAAAATGGAGATTAGTGCTGTACAATGCGATTTTTTTACCCGATTAAAAAAATATCGTTTTTGAAAGCAGAAGAAAGGATAATTAATTTTATATTGAATTATACTGTAATTTTTGTTTTAGTTTTCCATATGATCCTAATATTAAAAATAAATGGATTGAAGCAACAGGACTCTTAGGCAAATAGTAGGTATACTTACTGGACATGGAAACTTTAACAAACACCTATATAACATGGGTTATTCTGACAGTCCTCTGAGCAGGGCGTGCATGGAGACTGAGGAGATTGTCTCCTCAGTCTCCATTCCAGTATCACATAAGCGCTTGTGCACTCATTTGATACTGGAATGCAGGAGCCTATTAAGACAAAAGGACTACATATCTATGAAGCCCAAGGATACTAGTGGAAGCATGCGGCAGAGTTCGAGATCTTACGGGCTTCCTGGAGGAGCTGGGGTGGCAGGACTAAAGCAACCCCGTGTCATGCAAAACAGGCACTGAGTATCGAGTTGCAGAAAAGCCCGCCGTGAAACATAACATAACAACACAGGACGTAAAAATGTGTAGCGTGTTGGGAGGGGGTAGCGGCTACTACAAAGTGTTTGCCCACAGAAAAATGCCGATTTCTATTCTATCGCATAAAATCTTTTTTGCGCCGATTTACTAAATTACATTCGTGAGTTCGTGACATATACATAATATTTAAGCAATATGGTAGTCTGTCTATAAAGTCATGAAAAAAATTGAGGGCGCTGCGATCGTGCACGTAGCAACCCTGTGTAGTGAGACAAATGATTTTGATAGTAGGATTTTTTTTTTACTTTTATTACCCCAGAAAAGGTAAAGAAAGGCGTATAATTCGTAGACAATGAGTTTATTCTACATTGAAGATTACAATATAGTAATCGTAATTTTTGATAAATCTTTTTTTTTATAATTGCCAAGTTGTTTTCTCGTTTTACTGCAATGTGTGCTTGTGTTCGATTAAAGCCTGTTACTTTGACACCCTTGTAAGAAAACCCAATATATTTCAGAATTTAATGCAGAACTTCTAGGCTACAATTAAAATCCAGATCGGTTTTAGCAATCCACTGATGTTTTCTTCATGTAGGTACCTCTTTTTTTCACAGAGTGTAAGAACTGAATCTTTTGTCGAAGTGCACAAATGTTGCAGTTAACCATTTATTTCTTAGGACGACTATCTATGTTTCCCAGGGGTTTCAAATATGCCACCATTTTTATAACCTTCATCTACAATACGTATCACTATATTCTCTGATTTTCCTGAAAGTAAGTTTTAAAAATGTAATACCTATAGGTATTTGGCAAAAAGAATGGAATCGCCACAATGATCAAATTAATGCTATAATTTTAGTAATATAAAGCACAAACTTTTTATTGGCGTACGTAGGTAAAAATCGTACATTCCTAACAGGTATATTTTTTATTCAGATTAAAATCAATGATAAATTTGATTATCCAAAAGTATTGAAAGTTCGGGCCGCACTACAATATAGCCTTCTAACATTTTCAATCTAACCTATAAATGCATAATGTAATCAATACTTCTTTTAGACTTAAATTCATATATTTAGTAAATTTGAAACTTCTGGTAACCAAAACTCAATCAGTAACACGATTACATACCAGCCATAACTGCCGTTCGAGCTTTAACATCCTACAAATATGATAAAATGTGTCCAGCTTCTTGTTCCAATAAACATCACTGAAAAACTTTATAAATAATATCCTGAGCTTCACTCTGATTAATTCTCTTCATTTTTAACACTTTTCGACGGAGTTTAGAAGAAGTAGCTTCAGTTTAATCAAAACAAATCAAAAATGCAGAAAATCGAGCTACAAAATCAAGTTGTTGACAGTCGATGTACTTTGATTCAGTGTTGTCATACTTGTGTCTAATGTTAGTTCCTCAAACGTTCTTTTCATGACTTTATAGACAGACTGTACACATTGGTCTCCGTCGATCGATATAGTTTTTTCAATCGATAAGAATCGGTATGCCGTTTCAAATACAACATGTATTCGATGCAAGTGAAATTATGTCTTCCATCACTAAATTAAGATCGTGACGTCATGATACCTACACAAAATGTGGCACGCTCGGTCTCCATATAAATCGACGAACATTTTCCTTCTAACTAGATTTATTTCTGTGGGTCCGCCATTATGTTTGACCGTGTGGACACACACCATACCATTCGATACGACAGTGTGACCATATATGGCAGTTTCCTACCTTCTTAGTAGGTATAGTCCCAATTTTTAAATACTCGACTGTATTTACCTGTAAAAAAAGTTTTTTAAACACGAGCTTTAATTTGTGCGGACTACGTACGTAAATAAAAAAGTAAAAAATATAATATATTACAAAACTTTCTCTAACAGCAATCGACATGAAAAGCGCTAATGAAATCGGAGACGAGGAAATTCACATACTTTTTACGTGCTTAAAGCTTTTCAAGTCAATTACTGTTAGAGACTTCTTTTTAAAACTTTCGCGTTGCATTATATTAAATTGTATAAGTCTAGATATAATTGTATAAGATAGTTAGGTTTTTCACCTACCATTTCCCGACATTTCGACCAGGTTAATTAAGGGTGGGTGAAAACCTAACTTTCTAAATCAATCACGTTAATACCCGTCTTATAGATAGATAAACAATATATAAATGACGAGATGTTATCGGAGATTTTGCTAAGAACCAATGAGAAGCTGGCTGAATATAGATGTAAATATAGGAAGCAAGATCGCTCAGAGCTAAAAGATACCGATATGATTGAGTTGCACGCTTTTATTGGCCTATTGATGTACACAAAAGCACATTTGTTTACAGTGCGCGAAACAAGTGTGCCCTGACTGTGCTTAGAATTTAAGATGTAGTTCGATTGCGGACATTTTTTTAGAGAAGTTTTATGTTCCTATTATATTTTTTTTCTTAAAGTTATATTAGTCTTAAGTGAGAAATACAAGTTTTTGTTATTCTAAGAAAAGTATTTTTTGTGTTATGATTTTTTATAGCTATTAGTTGGATTTTCCCCCAAAATTCAAGCCAAATATGATTCTAGTGTTAAATTTTAAAATATAATAAAGATCGTTGTCTTTCTTTACTTATTTTTTCTTAGAAACCTTTATTTTCTATCATATTGCGGAGACAAATATTTAAATCAAAACTTTCTTTAAAAAACAATACATAATATAAGTGGCCTCTCAGGCTACAAAAAATGCACGTCGGTGCTTAAAGGTTAAAATAAATTATGACAGTCCCAGCTGTAGCAAGATTTTCAACTTTGATATGGTGATACTGGATTTGTTTATCCTGAAAAAGGAGCAGAAAACATGCAAAGCTCATCTGGACGCTTTGAATACCACTGTTCGCTCATCTGGAGGCTTTAGCGTACCGTACCGTATTTTGTCCAGAGCGTACAAGTTCGATGGTCTGTTGGCACGCAAATGTCAGCCAATCAGAATGAATCAGGTTGCGCTCCATTGGGCCATTCGTTCGCGCCAACCCCGCTGTAGTTTTGTAACGAAAAAAAATAACCGTATATTGTTTTCTTGGTAACGGGGTGAGGGAATGAATATAAAAATGTCGATTTATATACCTACTTACTTGGATTTCAATTCACAATAAAAAAAAAATCTTTATCCAAAATTAGGAGTCTAAAGTTTGATTATATTTCCACCTTTTGTTTTATTTCTAGTTTATTGCTAATATGAACTTAATTTTCAGGGGAAATATCCATAATGTACATGTCAACTAGATACAGATTCAATTGGGACGAAGTCAAGTTCAGTATATTCCAAACGTATAACTTTATAGTCCACACAATTGGTGAGTATACATTTTCATACTCTTCACACTTTAGTTTAAAACGACATTATCGATACATGTTTATTTTTAAATTAAGGACAATCATTAGAGTTTAAACACCTAGTTACACAACTGTCTATTAAGGTTCAATGACGATTTTTAATGTATGCTCTACATCAGGGGTGGGCAGACTTTCACTAATGGTGATCTATATCAATAAATTGAGTCGACAAGCGATCGACTTGCAATAAGACAATATTTTTTTATGTTAAATCGTTTATTGTAGGTATTGCGCACATATCACTATTTAAATATACTTTTATTTACAATTAAAGAAGTACAGTTTCTTATTATACAAGTTAATAACTAATAACTACTAAAAATAAGTATGAAGCCAATCACATGAACTAAGAGTGTTTTTATCAGTTTCGGGCCTCTCTGGACTGATTTACTTAGAGGTCGATGCATGGCACTGCGTATTTTCTGCTAATTTCTCATAGGAAGGCACGTATTTAGTAAGTGCCAAACGTAAACAGGAAGACAAATGTTCGTCGGTAAGTCGATTGCGGTATTTGGATTTAATTATTTTCATTTCAGAAAACGCAGATTCGCACAAATACGTCGACCCAAACAAAGCAGTTAATTGCTGTGCGATTTGTTGGAGACTTGGGTATTTTTCTTGGTCAAAAGAGACCAAAAACTGATATCTGTTGCTTTGGCTTTTAGGTGAACATCTGAATGATCTGTATCATCTCGTTTTCGAGAGAAGACAAATCCATGTCAAAAGTGTTCGATATTTCAGAAGCAGTAATTTCAACATCCACACAAGAAAAAGGATAAATCATGAAGTAACAACGTTCGTCAATTTTTGTAAGTCAGAAAAACGTCTTTCAAACTCGCTGAGAATATTTCCAAGTTCTGTTTCGTATTTATTATAATTTATTACGGCGCTTGTTTTGCTTTCAAACACGCAAAATTTTTCAAGTCCTTTTTTCAGTTGGTTGATCAGAAGCTGCAATTTACTTTTAAATGAGTTAATTGTGCTAATCATGTCCATAATAGTTTATCTTTCCCTTGTAGCTCCAGGTTTATAGAATTCAAATGACCAGTCACATCAGTAAGGAAAGCCAAATCACACAGCCACTTTCACTTTTAAGAATCTCCGTGTCATCATCCCTTTGATCCAGAAAGAAATGATTTCAGGTAGTAATTCTTGAAACCGTTCTAAGAACTTTCCCCGGCTCAGCCACCTTACGTCTGTATGGAGCAATAAATCTGTGTGCTCAGATTCGCTGGCCTCCAATTGCACTTTGAAGAGGCGTCGTTGCAAGCTTCTGGCTCGTATAGAATTTACGATCTTCATAGTGATGCTCATCACATCTGCCATGTTCAGTACTTTCGAACAGCTCGTAGTTTTTCGCAAAACTTAGAAAAGCATCGTATATGTCTGAACCGCGAGTGGTTTCTTTCAAAGGTATGATTGTTAAGAACTCTTCTTTAGACGACGTATCTGGAAATGCCATCCGAATAAACACACATAGCTGGGCAGTGTCAATCATATCAGTGGATTCATCAAATTGTAAAGAAAAGAATGAACATCTCATAATATCACTTTTTAGCTTTTGCTCGATATCACTGTTCATGAGCTCAACACGTCTAGTTACAGTCCGACGAGACAACTGGAGCTCTTTATGGCAGACATGATTTCAGTTTTATTTTTAAAGTCGCCAAATAATGAATTTGCGCCTTCGAGAAATGCTTTTTTCAATACCTCGCCATCTTCAAAGGGTTTTTTGTGTTTTGCCAATATATGAGATATTTTTGAAGGACGCAACTGTCGCAGCTTCCGATTGTTTACTTGACCTGGTAAACATAGCTTGCTCGGCCTTCAAGCTACCTTTCAGATCTTGAACTTTCTGACGTCTTATTTCACTTTTGAGAGGAAAATCACTTTCGTAAATTTTATGCAAGGATTTATGATGCCTTTCTAAGTTGCCGCGTTTAGGCAAAGCTACTGAAGCTCGACAAACAAGACAAATACACTTGTCTTTCACCATGGTAAATAAGAATTCTTCTTCCCATTCATCGTTGAAATGATAAGTTTTACTTTTTTTTGGCGCACTCATTTTAAATAATAGTTACCAACTTCACTCTCTCCTTTAGTTACCCTCAGTACAAAATATATTCATGAGCAGCACGAAGTCACACGATCACGAAAGTTATTGGGAAACATAAACAAGTACAGAATCCAGAATCACGACATGACGTCTCACCGAAACCAAAATCTGTGCGAGACTGGCGAACACGTGCCGGCCGTCGGCAATTGTCAAAGCAAAGTAAATCGGGCGGCAAGCATAAAGCTAATTCGCCGCCCGCACAGGTCAAAGGACGCCGCCGCGCCGTTTAACGAGCCGACACCGGCACACGTGCACAGTACAGCCGCAAATAAATCTGGTGCCTTCTTATTTCATATCGACATTTTCGCAGTGAAAGGTTGTTTGTTGACAAGTATTTTCTTCTTAAAGTTACGCGCGTGTAAAATAAAATGTTTTTTATGAACGCACTTTAGATACTGGTATTTTGACTGGTGAAAAGACCACTGTTATTGGAATTAGCCCAACACGTCAGTACATTTTTAGGAATGCGATCGACCATAGATTCCCTTGCGATCGACCGGTCGATCGCGATCGACCGTTTGCCCACCCCTGCTCTACATTTAAAATTTTGTATTGATAATATCATTTTGGACCCGTCCATTAATCACGTGATGTTTTTTCAACATTTTTAAACCCCCTCCTCTCCCCCTTGGTGATACATGGTGAGGTTTAAGACTACCTCCCTCCCTTCAACCAAATAACGTGTATTTAAAAAACAAACGATAAATCTTAATTTCTGACGTCGCTTTTCGGTTTAATAATCGCGCGTCGAGGAAATAACCCCCCCCCCCAACCTCGTGATGTTTGACGAATCCCTCCCTCCCTTTCGAGCCTCACGTGATTAATGGACGGTCCCTTTAATCTAATGAATATTTTAATGGACGTTAGTGCAACTAAGTGTAGGTCATCCTTAAAACTATGTAATTAATTGGGTATACTTGTATTAACTATTTTAAAATATTTTTGATGAGGTCAATATCAAAAGCAAGAGTAAACAAAGTACTTATATTATTAGGGTCCGTCATCTCGTTCTTTCTCTTTCCGGTCTGAGATCTCGATACCTGTCTTCAACTGGAAGTTAGCAGACGATTTCTCTGAGAGTTGTCTGAGATTTCGGATGAAATGATGGTCATTCAAATGAAAGTCAACTAACCACCAACGGTAGTGTAGTAGAGCATATTTTAGCCGACTGTACATCGCTCGGTTACACCTACGATTTCAAGAGTAACCTGTAACATAGTTTTATTTTTTTTTCCTTTCTTAAAGGTACAATATTCTCTATCACGGTATTCAGCAAGTTGCTACAGTGGCACGACTCAATGCTCGGCATCATCTCCACTGTCAGCAAAATCGCTGCCTCCTTTGTGTACTGCTTTGCGCCCAACGAAAGAATATTCTATATCGGTAAGTTGTTTGTCCATCCGATTGTATAGAACACTGCTCATTAACTCGTCCTCTAACTAGCCAATCCGATATAGAATTTATATAATGGTATAGTGAGCAGCAAAGCGCTAATTAAAAAACGCTAAGATAAATATTTATTTATTATATCATTTATAATACCTGAATTTATAGTTTCATTCTTTTATCGTTCACAATGCGATCTCTCAATCCTTGCAACTTGTCAACTTGGTTCAATGGTTAAGGCGTGAAAGCGTAACAGACAGATACACGGACTTAGCTTTTAGCTGCGCTAGTTGTCCTAACTACTTGACCAAGTTCCAAGTAAACCAATGTTGTTTCTCAGTTCTCCAATCCTTTTTTTATGATTTCGTCATGTACGTTAAAGTCTATTAGATTTAGCTCAAAAACTATCGGCACATCAAAACTATCGGTTGTGATTTAGCATGAGTATACAAGTTAATTTAACAAAGTGGTAAAGTAAAATTTCGAAAAGAAAATTTTTAAGAAAATTTCCCCTACATGTGATGATGATTTTTTCCGTCTTCTCCATAATAAAGGGCATCGTTGGATAGTTTTTCAAAAACATTCGGGGTGTGGGAAGGCCGAATTTTAATTAAGTAAACTGTTTGTAACTTATCAAAGCTTTAAAAGCTTATTTTTTTAGAGACTAGTGTACCCTCCCTCCGTTTTACAAACCAACTAAATGGTCGTTAGTAAAGTTACCAAATTTAAAAGGAAAACTATCACACTTACTAATACACCCAGTTTCTGAATTGAGAATTTATAGATTATCACGTCTCAAAACGTACTTAAACCTCCTTGAATGTCACTTAAACAGGTTTTAGTCACTGATTTGTTTTTTGTGATCATATGATGAAACGTAAAAAATTAAGTTATTGAGAATAATAAGTCGAGATTTTAGTACTTTTTTCAATTCAGAAACCGGCTGTTAGCCGACCAATTGAAAAAAAAATACCTTTTCCACTAAACTTAGGAGTCGCCCATATCTGTCGCCTAAATATTTAGGAATCGCCTAAGGTAAAAATGCAATTCACTATTGACTAGGAACCTCTTAACTAAATTAAGAAATGTCTAAATTTATGATATTCGTGACGCGGCGCCTTGCGCTAGGCGTTTGCGTATATGACAGGACAGAAATAAATTATTTGAAATTAAACTAATCTGCTTTGGCGATTCGTAATAGTAGGTGTATCCTAGTTGAGCTATGCCTTACTCTAGGTTAGTGAAAATTGATGTAAGTTATTTTTGCCTAGCCTTTTATTACATGAGTATAGCCCGGTGGTCAATCTTTTAAAATTAAGAGAGTGATCATACTAATGTATTTTGCTTAGGTATCATTTTTATTCTTGCACTAAAATGTTATATTTTATTTCAGCGCCGGCAGTTGAAATCCTGAATGGCACTTCCTTGTTAGCTCTCAGGTCAATCACTTCCAAGTTAGTTGCTCCTAACGAACTCGGTGAGTATGATTTTTATGATATCATTAGCTATTTTCCCCCGACTTCGCCTGCGTAAATTAAAGCCGTAGGCGTAGTTGGTGAAAGATTTTTTAAATCGGTTCAATAGTATAGAAGCTTATTGAATGCAAATAAATGATCAAACTTTATGTTGAACATAAATATAAATTATTGTTAAATGACAGTTTTTCGTACTGAAATACACGTTTATAGTTTAAACTTAAACTGATAATGATAAATGCTAATGAGTGCATACGATTCCTACGGCGAATGATTTTACACTGAAAATTATTTAAAATATGTGTTTCTGAGACGCGTTGTAATGCAGTCACAGACGGTGTTCGGCATCAATGCAGTGCACCGAACACTTTAAAATAAACTAGCTGTGCCCGCGACTTCGTCTGCGTGGAAAATAGCATTAGTTACTCCTTGTAACATAAGTTATCTGCCAATAAAAGTCCCGTTAAAATCGGTCCAGCCGTTTCAGAGATTAGCCGGAACAGACAGACAAAAATGTTATATTGGTATATTTACCGTGTATTCATACATACGCATTTAATCAAAATCGATTATTTTAATATTACAAACAAACGATCCAATTTTATTTATTTGTGTAAATTTATTAACAACTTAACTCAGCCCAAGACTATATCTGAGTGAATTTGGAAATTTGAAAGAAAATTGACAAGTGGGCTAATTATTTAATTTTCAATTTTATCGCAAACCCTTTCTAAACTATAGCGATTTATGTCAATATCTAATTTTTAAAATTGCTTTGGGAACTAATGAAGAGTTAAATGATTAAAAAATATAATAAAAACTCAGTTAAACCCCTCTAATAATATGATTTGCATTAAGAATTCAACTTTTTCGTTTGACATTTCTCAATAATTTTCAAGCACTTATCGCTTTACTTAGACAATCCCAATTAAACGATATCTTACAAATCACAAAAAACAGAAAAAGGAATAGTAATAGATTTTGTAATTAAATAATTAGGCCCCAGCTCCATTCCCAGATTTCAAATTAGATACTACGGGAAAAAATATAGTTAGTGCATAAAATTATTGTGGGCTTTGCGACATATCTCAATGATTTTTATCTCTTTTCTTTGTCTGCTAACATCAGACATAAAAAAATATGTCACACACGTTGCTATTTATCATAATACCTACTGTACAAGAAAGTTATCGTTACTTATTAAATTAACTTGTTTATTTACTAATATTAATCTTAAGAACATAAAAATGTTAATAAATATTAGAATACCAAAAAGAATACCCTTTTTACGTCCCTTTTGTAGGGGTTCAGGCCTTCCTTATTCCTTCCTTATCCTTATGGATAATTAAGGACGACGGACCATCCACGCTGACCCGAAATGACGATAATATTGTATTTATAATCAAATGACGAGATGATTTAAAGTAATTAAGATATCTTTAGATTTATCTTGACATCAAAAGTCAAATAAAAATGTTTAAACTTTTAACTCTCCAAAAATTTACTCCACTGGTAGAATTAACTTCGTCACATAAAGGGATCTTTGAACTCGGAATTAATAAGTCAACGACGATATTTTGTCTAAATATTAAACAATATACTGTCGTTTTAATCAATAATGTTTAATTGTAAGTTAGCTGTCCACCAGCGGCTTTGTCCGCGTTTATAATAAACATATTTACATTTTCATTTTCAATCACCACCAAAAAAAACCGCATCAAGTTCTATTGGTTGTTTTAAAGATTTTAGCATATATAAGGACGAACAGACAGAAAGCGACTTTGTCTTATACTATGTATTGACGAGTTTATCGCCAGCGGCTTCGGCAGCGTTGTCCTGTATTATACATAGGTATTAAACTTCCTCTTAAATCTCTGTATATTGATGAAAATCATATTAAAAATCTCTGTGTAGTTTAAAAGATCTCAACGTACAGATAGCGGAAAGAGACTGTTTTCTAATATATGTAGATATTATGAATGTCTTAAAATTAGGTTAAAACCATATATTATCCTTTTCAGGTAAAGTGAACTCAATATTTAGCTTGACAGAGAACCTCATGCCTTTAGTGTATGTGCCTCTGTACACCAAAGTTTACACTGCCACAATGGAGATACTACCAGGTGCCGTATTTCTGCTGGGTGCTGCTATGACGCTGCCTGCTGTAATCGTTTTCATGTGAGTATCAATAGTCCATACTATGGTAGAGTTGCTCGTGGCCTAGTGTACAAGCGCCGCGACCCGCGACCATCGTTGTAAAGCAGCTTTTACAATTGTAGCTTACGGGATGAGGAACCAAAAAAGTATTAGCTCAAGCTACTCCATGCTTCGAAAGGCACGTTGAGCCGTTGATCTCGGCTGATTTGCAGTCGTTAATACCCTCCATTCCGCATTGGGCCAGTGTTGAGGCCCATCCTCCTTAACCTTACAGGGAGGCCTGAACCCCCGCTGCGGGGGCTTAAAAAGGGCTGATGATGATGATAGAAAAAACAATGAATAAGGCTGTTAATTAACTACAAAACGTTTTAAATAAAATCCCGCGGTCAGTTTTTAACAAACAATGGTTTAATTGGACCTTCTTATACAGCTTTTTTTTTTAATATCTATTTTTTTTTTCAGATGTCTCTTTGTAGAACACCGAAAAGGACTCAAGAAGAAACCTGTGAAAATCGAAAATGGAATCTGATGAAACATATTACCTCTACGATTATTTCAATTATATATTTAAGAAATTAATATACAATTGTCAAATACCAATAATCAGTTTTGCTTTTATAAAGCCATACTAAAGATACAGAATTATATAACGATAAAATACTTCTTTGAATTAAACTTTAGAAAACAATTAGCTGAATTGTAATTCTTCGAAACAACTAATAATTACGTTAAAGGAAACTAATTCAAATAAAAGCTTTATCGCAAATTAATTTAAATTAGACTAATTTTAAGTTACTTAAGAGGAATTTAATAATATGAGATCATAAATTCTAGCGATATTAATCTTTGTAGTTTACTTTACCCTCAAATAATTCCTCGTAAGATACAGCAAGCTCTTTACTTGTATTTAGTTCCATTAAAAATCCTTGCGTTTAAGTGAAAACTTTGCAAGTAAAAGTTTTTGTTCTACGATGTTCGTACTGTCATAAAAAGCTGGCCTCTGAACTTCAGCTTTGAAGTGTTGCAGTAATTACACAGGACCGGAGCAAAAACTCTAAGTAATCCACACCACAGTCTATAAGTCCACCTCAATTAACAGTGGGTATGATACAGCTTAATCTTTACATAGGAAAATAAGCTTTCACTCAACCGGCTATCATATCACCGAGATCTATTTTTGCTTGCAATGAATTCTGAAGATGAGAACACCTGATACCTCCTAACTGTATTTTCAACTCTATCAACATCGGTATTCGTGTCCTTTTCCAAGGGCAACAAAATTCTTTTGCGAACGTCCAGTCTAGTGCAGAAATACGCCAAATACGCCCGTTGTGCACTTAAGATACCTATTTTATAGGGTTGAACATTAACATATTATAATTTTAATATATTTCCCCCAAGGTATACACAGTCCTTAATTAAATAAGTAATTTAAAAATAAAGTATCATAAGTAATTTAGGATTTTCTTTAAAATAAAAGAAAACCCTAATTTCTTCTAAACATAGGTATATAAAATCAAAAAGGCATGTGGTGACCTGTCACAGAGTATGGTGTATAATAATTCTACACTCAATATAAAGGTGAAGACATATGTCGGGGTTTTAACAACTACTATCATTCAGTTTTTATACAATTGTCTGACCTAAACTCTTAATTTGTACCATTAAACACGTGCGTTGCATGAGACGTCAATAGATCTCAGTGACATACAGTTGCATGAGAATGTAATATTGCGACTCTTGAAACATCTAAATATATATAAAGAAGCCGGAGCCGATGACGTATATCTTTTTTCGTTTCTCTGTCTAAAGCACACCAATTAGTAAACCCTTTAACAATGATATTCCGTAAATAAATTAGTTCCGGTGATTTTTTTGCCCTGGAAACAAGCTTTAGTAATACCTATTCTCAAGAACCACGAAAAATCTGATTACAGAATATCGCCCCATCTTTAAATTATATTATGTGGTTTAGGGAACCACTTGGAAAATAGTTTAACATCAGTTATCATATTTTATCCGTCATCATTAAACCCTATGCAGCATGATTTTGTTAACTCTCGCAGCGTTAATATTAATGTGATAATATTTTCATAGTCCGTTCGTCCGGCTACGGATCACGATAAACAAGTGGATGTACACTGACTTCTCAAAGGCATTTGATAAAAATTCCCATAACTTACTTTTACAAAAGCTTTGGACACTCGGTGTGCACGATAATTTGCTTAGACGGCTCGAATCTTACATTGGTAACCGTAGTCAAGCTGTCTCCATAAAATGCAATTGTCCCACCTTTTAACCTGTTTCATCTGGAGTTCCGCAGGGCGCCATCTTGGGCCTATCCTCTTTTGCATTTACATAAATGACATTAATGAAGCCTTGGTTAACTGTTGTCACCTACAGTATGCAAACACAAAAATATTTAAAGTAATCACTAATAAAGATGAATGATGTAGTTTGGAGATCGATTTGGACTCTTGAACTAAATATTGCAGAGATAATTAATTATTCCTTATTGTTGACAAGTCCTAACTTTATATTATAGACATATGTTTATATGATTATGTATGTCGGTAATGCGGTACGTATTATTTAAAATACATTTATACATAGTAAAGGATAGTGAATTCTTAAAGCACCATAGACTACCTACTTTTACAAGTGTATCATGTATGTTATATTAAGGTTGCCTGGATGGGATTACGTTTTACATTATCGCGTTTTGATCCTTTACTTATGGCGTGTGTACAATCTGAGTATTTTATTTCATTAACTCAATCAAATTAATCAAATCAAATTTTATTGAACCTATTGATATCATTTATTTTCATTAGGTACGCCTATTGGTAACTGAAAAACAAGTACATTAACAAACACAAATGATATTTGATATCTAAAATAACAGGAATAAGTTCAAATCTAAAAGCATCTCCATTAAACTATGACCTTATCACAAATCGGTAAAGGTCAAGGAAGGGATTATTGTTATTTTGTAAATAACAAAAAAAAAATATTTTACAGTAAATAAACCAATCGAAAATCTTTTGTACTTCGTTGAATATTCATAAAATTAATTCAGAATTAGAGAAACAATTAACACTCGGTTTTATTGAAAAAAAAGGACTTTGTCAATACTGGCTTTTATATTGGACTAGATTGAAATGTTTTTGTAAAAAAAAAATATTCAATTTAACACCAGCTAACCAAGGGATTTTTATATCTTAATGAACTAAAAAATGTGTCAAATACTTAAGGTATATTACTTGAAAATTATAGCTTTACAATCAGAGAATAAGTCTACAATCAAAGAATAGAATAGAATAGAAATATCGTTTACGATTGTTCTAAAACTAATTACGTTATTGTGAGCGAACAATTAGCTTAATTTTGCTTTCCTTATTAAGGTTTATTTGGGTAAGTCGTGTGTGAATAAATTACAACATGTGCATATAAGCATCTGAACCATACACTACACTTACGTGAGTGAAAAAATTCGAACCGTTCCCTTATAAATATTGTCTACGGTGCGGTGAAAAAAATACCTTAATCTAAGCATGAGAGTTTCATTTGGATTTCGGGTGCCACTTAAAGTTGTTAAATATAGAGCATGCCAGAATAACACATCAGAGTTTGACTTAAATTAAAAAAAAAATATTATTAAAGCTCTATATTGCGCGCAGGTAAAGAAATAATCAATAAGAAGTGTAGGTCTTCTTATGAAACAAAACGATGTCAAAATAATGATATCCGTGGGAAAACCCGTATTAGAAATGTTGTCACTACCATACGTCAACAGAAGTTGAGATAAGCGTGATACGTGGCAAGATTGGATCTGGCAAGGTGGACCAAGAGATTGCTAGTGTGGCGGCCGAGACAGAATACTCGGGGAAGAGGGTCAATTGTCTTTCTTTCACAATTCATAAGACACACAGACAGACAGCGAAGTCTTAGTTATTCCCATTGTACCTTTTGGGTACGGAACCCTAAAAAGTATAGGTTGTTGCCACGGTGATAGTTCCTCTTATTAAATATGGCAACTTGATAAATATAATGCCATTACAAGTTTTTCATTTTTTATTTTAAGTACAAAAAATAATTCGTTCAGGCCCGGATCTAGGAGTTTATATAATACCTACATACAGTTACAAAAAGAACGAGCTTCACAAATCTTCATACAAATTATCGGCTACGATGGGACGGTCATGCTTCAAAATCGCTAATTAAAATGGAAGGAAAAAATAGTAGCGTAGAGGGCCTCAGTCTATCTCGGTCTATCCGCGCCTGAATTACTTCACTAAGCTACGAATTAAACAACCATTCAAACGACAGTTGGCCTATATAACGAATTTGTATGTGTTATTTTAATAAGTACCATCCCTGAAGGTATCAGATTAGTTAGATATAAGAGTGGGTCGGTAAGATGAGCTCAGCCGGCCACGTTCCCTCACGGCCTCTTACAAACAACATTAAACTTTTACTGCCCACTACGATTCCGCTAGTCCACCACTTGTTAATAGGTTTATACGCCTTTCTATATTTTGTGTTAGCAATAAATTACAGTTTGTACTGACAAGATTACACATTATAAGAATTCGCTTCATCAAATTCAAATTAATTCTGCTTGATGGATCTTATTTCTTTGATGAACGAGGATTTCGTTGTTTTTCGTTTTTATCCCATGTTACTTTAGATAATTGGAAGTCAAAACCTTACTGCAAAGCTTCGAACAATCTGATAATTTTACCGCTGATGTTAATTCAAACTTAAGCAGATTTTTAAAGTTTTTCAGTGAAGAAAATAGGTCATCATAATAGTGAAATAAGCAATACACGATATATGGATTGGTAACTCGTTTATTACTACTGGTATCTCAATAACGTAAAATATTGAGCGTCGATATAATGATAAAGTTTGAATATGTTATTTAATCACATAAAAAAATAACACCATTGAGAAGGATTTTTCATTTTTTTTTAAATAATGTTTATTTACTTTTCATGGAAAAACCATTTTTATACTTTACGGATCATAATTAAAACGTAGTTTCTGAAATTAAGTACTTTCCTTTGAGGTTTTATATTGAAAAAAATGATTTAAGTGCGTAACGCGAAATGAATTTTAGTCATTTACTTTTTAGTTACACTTGGAATTTTGGTTGTTAGTTTAGATATAGCTGTTTCTTACTATTAGTAGGTCATTTAAACTACTTTTGCAGTTAGTTGCACAAACGTCCGTTAAGGTTTAATATCGATTTAAACTAATGAGAATTTTAATTGAAGTTTGTGCAACTACCTGTTACTCATTAATATTTGTCGACAGTTTAGTATTCGCAAACATAATTTAACGCCGCTCGGGTTAATATTAAAGTATAATATCAGCAGTCAACCATATATTGTTTTTTCGCCCGATTTAATAATTCCCCTTTTTAATGTGAATGAAAGACAGCACAATATCATTGACGTTACACCGAAAATTGGTTTTAGAGTTATACTCCTGTAGTGGTATCTCTGAGCGCCGCAAGGCAATGTCTTAATATGGCTTTAGCTTCCTTACCATTCATAAGTTTTTTCATAATTGTGCTCACCAATTTTTACGGCTTCTGACATCTCAATCTGATAACACGCGATCATTTCCATCGTACAAAGTATATACTATTCATTTAAACTTTCGATGTCTAACATAATATTTCCTACGATTCCGATATTCAGAATCCCAGTAGGTACATAAATGTTCTGACGACCCCCGTAGCCTAGTCAAGGTGCCTGATTAATATCCGTACCTATCTCTGATCAATGTTTTTCCTTAATACAAGTTTTAATAGCTACTTAAT